ATATCGTGTTCGCTAGACGATGCAATGTCATTGGAGCTGTTGTCGTGGACGGATGAGGACTCGTCACTCACTGAAATGTCAGGCAGGTCCGTCTCATCATCTATGAGTTTGTTATCATTGAGAGGAAGAATGGTAGTGTCCCTGGAAGGACAAGTGGAGGAATCGGGCTCGTCCTCCATCACAGAATAAATGATAAAGAAATACAAATGGTTGGACTTGGAGGTCGGCTGAAGGGTCTCAAAATACAAATGGTTGGGCTTAGAACTATCCATAACCACCCTCTTAGGCCGGTTACGCAGTGCAGCCTTCCCAGCCTGAGTGGCAGCCTCAACAACTGTCATACCCTTGTTCTTATGTCCCTTCTGAGACTCAGGTGCCTGGGTATGGCCCTTACCCTTCCCCTTGGGGTCCCCTGAAGCAGCTAGAGTGCCCGATCTAGCTGCAGGGCAGCGTGACAGAAGCGACGGTTGAGGCTTGTTGCCACTAGTATAGCAATCAACCCCAACGTGACCCACGTGGTCAAAAAGACAACAGTCTCGTGGACCACCTTTTGAATGGTGGTATTCTTAGCCTGGTCGAGCTCGATCTCATCGATGAACTCGCCGCGGTGGTCTATCTTGATGCACATCTGTGCAACAAATATTCTCGTTCGGTTGGCCGTGGGAGCATCAACCTCGATCGGATTACCGATACAACTGACAATCAAGAATAGAACGGTAGTGTCATAAAGGTATGGAAGAAGGCTTGGAAGACGAATAAAATGGGTGCAATAGGTGCCTCCGTTGACGAAGAGAAGTCAGGGGTGTATATAAACACTCGGGCCGTGCACCCATAGAAGTTTACGTACATCTTGAGCCACGCCTCATTGTAGTCGTCCTTAAGCTGGAAGATGACTAGGTAGTGTTGTAATTAAAGTACTTAGACGTGTAAGTACACTTATACCCTAATTATTATAAACCAACATTAAAATATCGGATGTTGGGGACAGTAAAAGAGAACTTAAAAATCAAAGCATTGTCGTAAGGCCCGACAAGAGAAGAAACATCAGGCTCCGGAAGACTTACCTTGAACCGTTCTCCTCAGAACGCGAGACAGTCCCATGGTGATTACCCTAGAATTTTTCGAGTGAGAATCTATGACGTCCCAGTTTACCGGCTGATTGGCCAGTGATCGCATTCCAAAAGAATCAGAGATGGCCAGGGCGGAGGACGATGTCGTCGAAGTAAAAGTTAGCATGAACTTAGGGCCGAGGGAAGGCTTAGAGGAGTGCATGTCGGGGGTTTTCCAGTCCTATGAGCTCCGGTGAGCGGGGAAATTTGTCAGTTGTTTGTCAAACAGGACTGGGGCTGAGAATTTTGGCCACAGAATTGTAGCCAGAGGCTTGAAGATTTTAGGTACCAACATTGGGGCCGTCTATCGCCGGCGTGATGGCAGCGCTGGCCATCGGCGGAGGGACAACGGTAGTGGTGGCATCCGCTGAAGATAGAGTCGTTGTAGTGATGTCCTAGGGGATGGGTGGTGAATGGGCTAAGGGGGAAGAGGACTTGAGAGTGGGATCAGGCGGGTTGCGCTATGGGTGAGAGAGAGTGGGCTAAGAGGGGGGTTGAAAAGAGGGCTGAGGTTGGGAGTTGGACTGTGGTTGAGCGGGCTGATGGAGTATAGAGCAGAAAATGGGCTAGAGAGAGGCCCAGTAGGTTGGCCCTAGGATCGAAATGAAATAGGTGGGGGAGGAAAGAGGGCCAAATAACTATATGAGGCCCAAAAAGAGTCTGGGTCGGCGACAGGTGGCCCAAGGGGCCAAAGGGGAAGCTTGGTTTAGAAGTCACCACGTCACCCTCCTACCACCAAACCCTACCACTTGGCCATTGTATAAAGGGATGTTGGTGAAGCCGAGAGGTTGACCAGTCAAAGAAAAAAATGAGGCAGTGGTCGGGTCAATACCTACCTGCGAACCGTCTGATGGTTGCAAGCTGGCGAGAGAAACGGGTGGCAATGGCAAGACGACAAACTATGAGAACATGGCCAAGAGGACGGCAGCCACACGAGCAATCTTCTCTCCATGTGATGAAGACCCGAAACCTGATGAGGCCGACCCTCCGAGGGAGATAATGGTTGTGGTGTGAGCGTTGTAAGCTCCATGCTATAAATCAACGAAGAAAGAACTTAAAAGGCAGAGGCCTCGTCATGAGCACCAAGCTCACCACATGCTGTCGGCGAAGGGACTGGCATACCATCTACTGTCGCCAAAAGGACAGCACGCGGGTGACCAACTTTTTCCAATTGGTCTTCTGGTGGGCTCTAGACGGCGAGAGACATGGCTTTCGGACTGAGACAAAAAATAAAAACTAAAACCGAAAAGAAAACCTAAAAAGAAACGGGAAAAGGAAAGAAAAAGAAATAGAAAGGCCGGAAACTAGCCGCCGCCGGCAGCAGCCGGCCGGAAATTGAAAATGAAAAGCCTAAGTGACTGGAAAAAAGGAGGAAAAACCAGAAGAGGAAGAAGGGACTAGAGATGAGGAAACAAAAAACTAAAGAGAGAAAGAGCATTTTTTTTTTTTTTTTT